GCAGAAGATTTTTGTGTTTGGAGGCGTATGAAATGTCTTGTTGTGGGTCAGTGGGGAATGTCAGATGAAAAGACAGTGGGGAAAGGCTGGGCAAGGGAGATGGATTTAGAACAACAGGAGGTGAATTGCTGGGGGAGGGGGAGAAGCAGTTAATACTGATGCAAAGGGATTTGCACTTCTCTCAGCCCTGTGTTCATTCTGCAGTTTATGGACATGAGAGGCTGGAAAAAATGAAGCTTATTACACCTTCTGGTGCTAAACACTCAGAACAGAAGGGAAAAGGGGAGGAAAAAAAAAAAAAAGGCAATATAAATGGACAGTGTAGTCTCTTACATGCATTAGTAAATAGACGGAATGCAAGAACAGTGTATCCTACCAGATACATAATAAGACATTATTTGCTGCCCTCTCCTATTCTGAGGAACATAAGACACACACCATTCCCCTAACCCCTGCAAAATGCAAATAGGATATAATGTTGCAAGAAGATGAGCTCTCCTGATCTTCCAAAATAAAAGCATACCAACAAAACAGATAAATATTATATTTCAAGGAATATAACTATGGTAAACAATTATGTTGATGTAATGCAATTTGTAATCTTATTTGTTGCTTTCCAAACATGTTTGTTCAGAACCTGTAATAAACAACCTAATGTTCTTTCATCAGAAAGTGCAAATCAACCAAGTTAGTTAAGAACTATTCTAAGAACACTTAATAGCATCCGGGTTCAGTAACTGATTTTCTATTTTAGGCAGGAAGAGAGGTACAGCACAGTCTGCATGATAAAAGCCTGACAGCAAAAACTCCACGCATACCAAAGAAAACAACGTGTCTATGACAGCTACAACAGGAGCAATTTTCAGCTTCTTACACTACTCATGCAAAGCACTTTGCAGTCATCCCTCTTGCATAAATCTGTAAGTTGTAATTTTGCGTTCCAATGGATCAGTTTGTATGCTCTGTATCTGCAAATGAGCCAGATAATACAGAATGTGAGAAGTGATTTGTGCTATCAGTGACATCAGGAGTTTTGCAGCTGTAGTTATTAACAGATATTTTTTCATCCAGCAGCATCGACTAAAATCAATCATTCTGATAACTAGGCATGGCATGAGCTGTCCGCCCTGTCATTTCAATCTGATTAATCACACATACACAGACCTTTACCTTAAAGGAGCAATTGTTCACATTTAATCACAAAGATACATTCAAGCATACCATCGCAGATTACTAAATTTAAGTGCAATTTATGTCTTATATTTTGGCAAATGCAGTTATGATAATATGGCTTTGGCATATAGATATATTGTTTCATTCATTTTACAAACATTAAAATCCAAGCTAATGTATTGTACTTTGAATCATTTATCACATGAGATTTGCAGCTTTTGAAGCTTCCATTATACACATATCTTTATCTGCAGATTTATCCTAATAATCCAGGTACAGATAAATTATTAGTTATTATGTCTTCTTCAGACAGTGCTTGCCAGGCAGTATCATCTTCATCATAGTTGAAACTCGACTTCATTTTACCTGAACATTCTACATTCTATTCTATTATGCTATTAACTGGTCCTTCTTTTGTTTCAATTTTCCTTTTTAACCTTGGAACAAAGTACAGCTCTTCCCTTTAGATTTATGACAGAGTTTTTCTCTTTTAAGAAAAAATAAAAAATCATACAACCGAGCCCTTATAAAAGCATAAAACTCTGCAAGTCAAAGCAGACTGCTCTAGTGAAAACAGTGCTGTGTGAAAAACCAGTTGAATCTGAGAACTATCAAATTGGTAACAATTTAACTCTGCTACATCCTACAGATACTTCTTGATTAGACCTGAGTGCACAAAAGCATTCAAGTGTCCTAAAGTCCATCACTGTTCAGCAAACCACACATGCATATGCTTCACTTTCCCTGCAGAAGCCAATGAATATAAGACTGTGCTAAAAATTGAGTATAACCTAAACGTTCTTCAGATACGAGTGGATAAAACCATAACCTTTTGCTCTGCTGCCTAAGTGAAGTATTAAGTAGTAGATAACTGCATTTGTGTTTTGTGTAAACAGCAGGTGACTCCTTACGCTTTTAGATTGTTTAAAGGTATAAGTTCAGCAATATTTTCCAGTTGGATCTGTTTAGATAAAGGTCACACCCATATGCTAAAAATTCTTTATTTGGTGTTTCTGTGCTATATAATACTTATGCTTTATAATATGTAGTTTATCAAAGACTGTTGTACCTGAACCTACATATGAATTGCCTCATTGACAGGTTTGTAGATTGAAATAAATAAATTTTAAAATGCTTTTAAATATTCCATTCAAATAAAACAGATAATTTTAAGTTAAAAATAAAACGAAATGGATTTAAACTGGATCTTTTTTTCAAGTGTAGACCAATGAGCATGAAGAGCTCAGAAGACAGGCTTCAGTTCTGACTGCTGCCCAACTGGGATCTCAGAAAATGGTGGGTTGGATAGGCTGATGAGCAACTAAACACTTGCAGGAGAGGAGAAAACATTCTTCTGCCAAAGAATTCAGAAAAGAAAAGGCAAAGTGTTGGAGGCAACCAGAGTTGTTTATGTATAAATAAATTGCAGAGACAGATTCCTGAACAGAGTGCAAGTAATTACTCAGAACTGCACAGTGCATTTATTTCCTGGGTCCTAAAGTGGGATATTGAAAGATATCGCTTTCTTCCACACACAACTACGTTATAATACTTCCAAATGGTTCAATCACCACTCAGTAATGTAAGCGTTCCTTAAAATACTCACTTTCCAAAACAAAGCTGACTTTCCAAAACATGCCTCTTTGGCACACCCTGAAGTATTTTTTAGAGCAAGAAGAATTGTTAATATTATGTACCCACCCAATTTAACAGCAGAACATCATCACCTTTGGTCATGATGTTGCAAAGCATCTTTAGTGAGTAGAAAACAGCTATAGTGAACTACACAGCAGCCTATGTTTTATATAGAGTATCTTATGGTGATACACTACAGCAAAGATTGAAGTGAGGATTTTTGTACATACAACCATATATGAATTAGGAATCTAGGAAATACAACCACAGATCAGAATATTAGTCTATCTAGTACATAGCTGATCTCTGTAGCTGCTAACATCTAGGGAAAGTGCACAGTACCTGTCATTAAGTGAATGAGGATAATACCTTCCAAATCACAGGTTTCATCCACACCATTGTCTTCAATAGCTATACATTAGCCTGTTCTCTGTTGATTTTCAGAGCAGTTTTTAAATCATATTGTATTTTTGACCTTTTCCAAGCAGTAGAGATGAGTTTCACAGTTTAAATTCTGTAGTTTGGAAAAGCCAAACCAAAAACAATGTCTTTTTTATTTTTTTTTTCTCTTCTCTAAGCCTACTAGCTAAAGATAACATTGGATTCATCTGGATCTTACAGAGGATGATGAACAAGTAGTCCCTACTTATAACCCCTGATGCAACCATCTTTGTATTCATCTCAACCACAATACTTCCCAGGTACATACTTCTTCTACAATTAAAAATTCTAATCTGACTAGCATGCCCTCATCTAGAAAGTCATCTAGGTATACTTTGTAGTTGTGTGTTTTTTTTTTCCCTTCAAGAGAATTTGATAAATAAATTGTTTTTTAAAAGAAGTCTGAAAGTCCAAATAAATTAGAATTATGTTTCTCTCTTAAAAAGTTGTGTTAACTATTCTGCAATGTATCATATTTATTTGTTAGCTTATTTTCAGTACTATACCACAACAGATCTCTGAAAGAATGACTAACCACAAGCTCGCTGTCAAAATCACCTTTTTGAAAACAAGAAATTTCACCCCTCGTAATTTATCCTTTTAAATATGAGAGCTTTTGAGCTCCAATTTTTTCTGTACTCCAACATTTTTGTGTGAAATAGGCTGATACAATATTTCAGTGAGCATTTCAAATGTGATCCCTATCTCTGATTTAGAAAGGCTTGCTAACAGGCCTTCTTTATTCTCATCCCTTGTGTCTTATGTATCTATGACTTTTCACCCTGTAACTAGAAAACTGCCCTGCCCTGAGTGATGGCTAAATGCAAACAGTACAGAATACAGACTATGTCACCTTTACCTTTCCCTACTTGAGACCACACTGCTGTCCAGGAGCCTCCTGAGTTAGTTTTTCCTCATATAAAAATTTATAAACAGTGAAATGGCTAATTCTTCTCAACACATGAGAGGGTGAGGGACACGAAGGACACAGGACACCAAAGACAGAGCAGTGGCTTGATGGATTATGAAATATGTTACTTAAACTGCAAAGGCTCAAGGGGGATTGAGGCAATTTAGATGGTAATGATTACTTTGCTGATTAATTGAATTATACTATGAGAGGTATTGTTCATTTGTTTTAATATGCTTTAACTGGCCACTATATGCACAAGATCAGTTTCTATTGTGTTTGTCTGTTTAAAACTTTATAATAAAAAAACCCACTGCATTACATCTTCTCAGCTGTGATAACCCTTGTGCAACTTCTAACATATGAGTAGTACTTTCCTGTAGAAAGTACTTTTTTTTTCTCCTCAGAGAAAATAAATTTACCAATGAGGCAACAATATTTTCATCAACTACAATTTGATATGATTCAGTTTGTGTAAGGAAGATATAAATTTGGAAAGGATTTCTGTGTATGGGAAATGTATCAAAAGAATTTTTCAGAATCTCCTAAAGTTCTTTAAAGTTCTCTCTGAGAAACTGTGAATGTTACCAACATTGTGTTCAAAATATTCAAAATGTTAAAAATATGAGACCTTGCAAGACTATAATGTGGGTTGTTTTTTTTTTCCAACATACTTTTCTGAATGTGTTCTATGTCAGAATTTGCCATATCCTTGTAAAAATTATATTTATTTTTAACTTATTTCAGAAATGGTAGTACATTCAGGAAACCAGAACTGAATCTGATACACTATATTCTAAATAATTAACTGCAGAACATTAGCTGTTATCTATTGCTACTGTCCTACTCCAATCTAGTGCAGATCACATAGATACTGTGCAATTCTTAGAACTTACATATTTTTTTCCTATTTAGTGTATTTCAGGAAGTCAACACAGTAATCATTTTGGAAAAAGAAAGGGGAAAAACCTTCAGGAGAAAAAAATAGTCTCTTCTACTCTTCTCCCTCCACACTACTCTGAATTTGTCTAGATTTGGTGTAAGATTTGCCACAAGAAAAGCAACAATAAAAGATAATGGTCTGAATTCTGTCATCACGGTCTCTTATGCCAAGCCCCTACATGCAAAGATTTCAGAAGGAAAGAAGGTACTCTCATGAATCTAATATAACTATCATTTAATTTAACTACTAGGTAGAGACCATATTAAAAACAGAACAGAGAAATATTCACAGACTCTATAATTAATATTGTCAAATAAAGGAGCAAATCCAAAACTACATTTTAAAATAAGGTAATTAATTTTGTGCTTATTGTATCATTACCTGTACGTATATACACAAAGAAACCCTACTAAGAACCGAGTATTAAAAAAAAAAAACTCTTAAAAATGTGTGGCATGTTCTAACTGATTTCCACCATTAAATGAGATGTGCATAGCCTGATAGGTCTGAAAGCATATAGAAACTTAATTTTTCTTTCTTCCTTTCTAATACGTTTGCAATTATGACATTGCCTAAATTCAGCCCGGAGAACTCAAAGGATTCAAAATACTCGAAATCAAAATACTATATTTGAAATCAAAATACTATACATGCAATATATTGCAATATATCAAGAAACATCAATCTGAGTAGGCCTTTCCTTTTGGGTAAGTAGCAGTGATATGGTCATAATTGACATTGTTGTCACGTTGCTGCATAAGACCCATTTTGTACTGCATAAATGCACATAAATTCAGCTGCATTACACTGCTCTCTTCCTCTATCTGACATTTTATTTCTGCTCCTTTTCTCTCTCTTTCTTCCTTCTGGTGTTTCATCACATGTGAGAATCCAATGTCTCTTTTCTTCTGCTTGTTGACAGGAAAAAGAGGTTACGGTGTTTGCAGACTACATGGTCCTAAACAAATATATAAATAAACACATAAATAATCAACAAAACTGCAATCAACATCCATATAAGGTCCTTTAATTTTATTCTGAATATAAAGTGTAACTTAAAATACATCATTGCTAATGTTGAAGTTAAAGAAAAAAAGAAAAATCACAACACATTATGAATTAACAGAATCAGATATGATTTATGCTGTACCTGTGGTTTTAATTTTTATAGAGAAGGTGTAACATAGGCCCCATCGACCATATTAAAATTCAAGTCTATCCCTTTAAACATCACACAGTCACTAATCACAGCTGAAGGGGACCGAGTTTTTTCTCACAGTATTCATTCTCAATTTAAAATGACTTAATTTTAAACTATTTTATATTCAAAACATTTTACTGTATCTGTCACGTAACCCATACAGTTCAAGTAGTTAAACAAACAACATCTAATCTAATATTCTCTAAAATTAATTTCAGTAGAGTGGCTGATGAAAAATGGAAAAATTTCAGTATTTTATAGGTATATCTAAACTTTTTCCTTCTAGAATTAAATCTGCACAACAGCCACTTTGTTTACAAGATTTGTTTAATGAGGTGTTACTTATGTATGCAGTAGAACACATTTCACAATATACCTGGTTGTGCTGTTAATATATCAGCACATCTTAAAAAAAAAAAAAAAAAAAAAAAGATTTCATCAAAGAATTAGAGAAATCTTGGTACCCTTAACCAAATGGTGCTCCTGGCACCACAGCACTCAAATACAGCCACAAGTTCTGTTTAACAGCAACACTTCCTTCACAGAATTATCATCTCTCACCCATCTGAAACTCTCAGCTAAGCTTTTCCTTTTATAACAGATTCACTGAAGCTGTATCAACTGGATTTTCACCATTTGCTGAATCCCTTGTATTTTAGTGTGTTGTTTTTTTTTCTTTTCTTTTCCATTTTTTTTTTTCATCTCCTGGTAATAAGATTCAGCTCATCTTGTCACAGTTGAATTGCCCAAGATAATCCATGCTTTCCCAGGCCTACTGTGGTTACAAAATGGAATTATCCAAATGCCAGGAGAGATTTTTTCAAAGCCTTATTCAAACATCTGGACTAATGAGATATTTCATTTTGAACGTCACATAGAAATTTAAAGTATCTAAGAAGAGAGACAAAACTTATTAGGGTAACATGGAAAAAGACAATACAAATATTTTAGCTATTTTTAGCATTCCAAAAGCAATCATTTCATCATTCATGTATACAGGGCCAAGCCTGAACAGTCATTTTCCCATCGACTTCAGGAGGCTTTGCACAGAGCCCATAGAAATGTTATGAGGCCTTTCTTCTGCTTGAACCACAGCAGCACTCTGAAAACATGGCTGCACATGACATGCAGAAGAGAGCTTATTCACCAGTGTTTGTTCTGTTTCTGTTTCATTCTGGTTAATTAGAATGGCCATTTGTTCAGCAATGTTATGTTGTATTTAAAATGGTACGAGGGCACAGAACAAGAGACTCAGCTGATGCTACCAGAGAACAGAACTTCTGAGGACAGAGACAGCCATGAAAAGAGTTAGGTCCAAACCTCATCCTGCTCCATGAACCCCTAAGCAAAATCCATCTGTTCATAAAAAGGAGAAGAAACTCACAATGCTGAGCTAGAAGGAAACTAAAGGGACACGTTTACAGGCAATGAATGCATACACCACTTACACTAAGAGCACTAATGCACGTTCAGAGCAGGTACCAATGCACACAGTAGAAGAGCCAGCTTGTCTCTGAATTACCCTTTCAGATGCATTAAAATCTAATTGAATACATCACTCTTCCACTTTTCCCCATATTTATTTCTGGTTCCACTTATACAAAAAGCCAAGGTCCTGAGACAGAGTCTCTCCTTACTTTTCAACATTACTTATCAAATAATGCACCTATGACAGGAAGGGAACGGACAGTAAGATCCTTCTCATACTGAACTGGGGGCTTCTATGACTTTCTAATTTCTCACTGTATCCTATAGCATTACCATTTTTGACATGAGTCTCTGAAGTCTTTTCTCTTGAAATTCACATATTTTATCCACCTTCCTTCCTTTATGCTAAGTCTGCTTGGCCACAAAGTACAGTGCTTCCTGAAGCCTGCTACACTGTAGGAGGACAGCAGCAACCACAGAACATATTGCATAAGTTAAATGAAACTTGAAGAAAATAAATCTTTTTCTCTATGAGCTTTTAAGGGGAAAAAAAGTAAGAATTCAAAAGGAGGGAAAACAGTGACGTGAATAACAGCACTTGTTTCTTTTTGAACATGCCTTTTTTCATGTTTCCACCTTTGAGCAATCCAGTCATTATGCTTCTACTGTTCAATGCAGCTACAAAAGCCTCACATTTCTATTGCCCAGCCAAAGGCACAGGCTTGCACGTACACATTGGCTATACTCACTTTGTCCCATGAATTTGGACACTGGCAAAAAAGCCTTCAAAAAAAAAAACCCTTCAAAAGCCTACAATCAGTGCTATGCAGAGCCTTTCTCACACCCATGGAAATAAATGATCTTAGAGGGTACAAAGCATTTGCAGGAAAGAGTCTTTCATAACAGCCCACACTGCTGCCATCTTATGTATGTTCCTTTAATTCCACCCACAAAAACAGTATGTAGAGGCCAAGTTTTCAGCAACATCACATTTCTTCCATACTGAAGGCACTTTGTTGAGGAAACCTTGCTTTGTTGAGAAACAGCTTCTTTAACCTTCAGTTTCTCACACCTTTGCTACACTGACATTGTCTCTTAACAAGTGAGAAATATCTCACTTTGCGTCACTCTTCCCTTGTTATTTTGTCTTATAGGATGTCTATTAAATTACCAGCTCAGTCATGGAAAAGCAACTTTGTGAACAGTTGTAATAACAAAAATAGCTTGCATGCTAGTGTTCCCTCCATATGCATACCAGTGGGGTTTATGTTAGGCTCATAAAAGTTGTTGGACTTTTCTCATATATTTTCCACAGAACCTGGGAAAAGATACACATCATCTAGTCCAACAAGAGGAGGAAAAAACAACACACAAACCTCCACAAGCTGCCTGTTAACCAATCACACTGTTGATGGCCTTGTTATTTATGCTGCTTTATACTTATCATCAAGGTAGTCTAACCCTGCCGGTGCCATGGGTCTGGTGCCAAGTACCTCTACCAGCCACACAGGGAGGCACATCAAAGCAACCTCCCCTAAACTGCATGCAGCACTGATTAACAGAGACCTGAGCCCAAACATGCAGAAGAGTATCAAGAGGCATCTGACAGCTGTTAGATTTCATCACATTTAGGTAACAATGCTTCTCATTCACCGTCCTTACCTGTGCAAGACCACAGCAGAGAAGTGATGCAGGCTTGTTAAGCCACATTGACAAGATATATGCATGCCCTTGAAAAAAGCCACAGTGCTATTGACGTCAAAAAGCAATGGATTGGGTCCCCTGTCAGAGACAGAAAGCAGACATCTGCTTCACTGCAAATGTGAAGAGGAATTCATTATGTCAAGAATAGTCTTATTTCAAAACAAACAACATTTGAAGTGCTTTAAATTTTAACTAACGTATATTTTCTTCAATGTCTCTTGCTTTCTGTGTTAAATAACAACGAATGTTCAAATAATGAATTTTATGATTTCTTATTATTTTATTGTTTGATTTTATTAAGGTTGCTTGATACTTTCCCTGTGCTTCTCTCCCCTTCTATGCATTTCTCTCCCCTGCTGTGTGCATCTGTTGTGTCTCTCTCTCACTTGCTCTCTCCCTGCTGTGTACATCCACTATTTCTCCCCGCTACTCCTATATACGTTTGCCATCTATCTCTCGCCCCCTCCTGCTGTGTGTATTCACTGCTGCTCCCCTCCCCCAGTACAGGCATCCATCGTGCATCTTTCTCTGCTTCTGCTGTGCACGAGTCTTTTCTCAGCAACTCCTACACACATTCATGAACACCATCCTCTGTCTGCCTCTTTCCGCATGCCCTCTTCTCCTTTTACAGTTCCCCTTTGTGCATCCCTTAGCCTTGCTTATCTTTATCCTTTTCTTCTTTCCATCTTTTGATATTCCAGTTTCTTCTCTCTCCTTATCTGCACCACCCTTCTCTCAGTCTCCTTTGTACTGTTTCTCCTCCAATTCTCTCTGATCTGTTCTCATAAATTGATTCTGCAGGAAAAATGTTCTGCTCTCATTTGCAGAGGTGTGCAAGTCCGTGTTGCAAACCATTCAGCACTGTGTCAAAGCTAATGGCAGTCAGTTTAATTTGCAGAAGAATCCTTGGTCCTACAACAGACACACAAACTAAAGTCTCCCAAACACTTTCCCTGTCCTTTTTTTTTTTTTTTTTCTCCTCATATTACTGCATTATTAGGCTCATTTCCATGTAAAATACAGTAGTTAAGGTATCCCTGTGTATATCCCTGTGTATCCCCTCTGTCAGTTTCTTATCTGCAAAAGAAAAAGACCTGTTGCAATTCTGAGCTTGATTACTGTTGTGGTTTGGGTCAGGACAAACTTAACATATGCATTAATTACTATAAAATAACTGGATACATATTTTTGGTTGTTTATTGCCTCTGTGAAGGAGTGTTCACTAATGCATAGGACAATACAAAACCATAGAAACATGGTTCTCTCTGTTTCCCTCGTCCTTGCTGGGAGGAAGAAACCTTGTCACAAGTCAGGAGGAACACAGTATTGTTAGCATTGCCTTTAGCCAAGTAAACTTAGTCCCAGGCACCCCTGGAGACCCTGCGTGGTCAGATGTCCCCAGGACGGCCAGTCTGAGGTAGGTGAGTTTGATGAGGCGGTAAGCATTTCCCAGGTTGGTTGTCCTACTCTGGCTGGTGACTACCCTGTACTGCTGCTCATGGTTCATGGTTGGTGAAGTGAGTCACCAGACATTCTTGGGTAATTTTAGTTCTGCTATTTCTGCTAGTAACAGGGTTGTTTGGTTTTGGTTGATTTTTTTTTTTTCATAACTGTCTAATTGTGCT